GGAATTTCAATCAGCATTGCATTGAATCTATATAGTAGTTTTGGAAGTATGGCCATTTTCACTATATTGGTTCTTCCTACCCAGGAACATGGGATAACTTTCCATTTTCTTATATCTTCTTCGATCTCCTTTTTCAGAGAACTGTAGTTTTCAGTGTAGAGGTCTTTTGCTTCCTTTGTTAGGCTGATTCCTAGATATTTCATTTTTTTAGATGCTATTGTAAAAAGAATTATTTCCCAAATTTTTCTCTCAGTGGGTCTGCTATTTGCATATAAGAAGGCTATTGTCTTTTGAGTGCTGACCTTGTATCCAGCTACTCTGCTGAATCTGTCAATTAGGTCTAGAAGACTTTTGACTGAGTTTTTTGGATCTTCTATGTAAAGTATCATATCATCAGCAAATAATGATAGTTTCACTTCTTCCTTTCCTATCTTTATTCCTTTTATTTCTTTCTCTTTTCTAATTGCTGTGGCTAATGTTTCAAGAACAATATTGAACAGGAGTGGTGATAGTGGGTATCCTTGTCTTGCTCCTGATTTTAGTGTGAAAGTTTTCAGTTTCTGACCATTTAGTATGATGTTGGCTGTTGGTTTTTCATAGACAGCCTTAATCAGGTTGAGATAAAGACCTTCTATTCCAATTTTCTGTAGCATTTCTATCATGAATGGGTGTTGGATTTTGTCAAATGCTTTTTCTGCATCTATTGAGATGATCATATGGTTTTTGTCCTTGACTCTGTTAATATACTGTATTACATTTATTGATTTACGGATGTTGAACCATCCTTGCATCCCTGGGATACATTCCACTTGGTCAGGGTATATGATCTTCTTGGTGACACTCTGTATTCTGTTTGCCAGTATCTTGTTGAGGATTTTTGCATCTGTGTTCATTAGGGAGATTGGTCTGTAGTTCTCTTTTTGGGTTGAGTCTTTCCCTGGTTTTGGGATCAAAGTCACACTTGCTTCCAGGAATGAATTTGGAAGCCTTGTTTCCCTTTCAATTTCCTTGGTGAGTTTAAAGAGTAATGGCATTAGTTCTTTAAATGTCTTGTAGAATTCAGCAGTGAACCCATCAGGACCTGGGCTTTTCTTTGTTGGTAAGTTTTTTATTACATTTTCAATTTCACTCATTGTTATGAGGGTGTTTAAGAATTTCTATATCTTCTTCATTTAATTTTGGCAATTCGTATGTATCTAGGAATCTG